CGGACCCAAAACGTTAGCACCGTATGACAGTATGTGACATTGGGTATTGAATAAACATATCAATACTTTAAAAACCCTTCAAGTGTGTGCCGGTGAATTATTTTTATTTACTAAATTAGAAGCCGGCAAGGCACTTCCTGATCTTCACCTTTTACTATTTGACTGATCAACTAAGACATCTGCGACAGCAATACTCATGGAAATTTCTCTTTAGCGGATGCCCATAATGCTTGGGTACTGAAGGTACCTCAACCCCCTATTGGTCTGGAAGCACAATCTCAATTGCTACCTAGAAAACATATCCCTATGTTAGAACTTGCTAGGTCGATCTGGGGAGAATGTAAAAAGTTGTTTTCTTACTCTGATATTCCTTGTGATACTATCTAAGGCTCCATTCACACATAGCGGCATGAAAACGTGCAAACGTTAACATACGCGCGTATACCACATCTTTGTGGCTATTGCTATAGCCAAAACGCGCAGAATCCGCCAACAAAATCGCGCTAGGACTTTTTTGTGGGACGCATGTTTTCGTACCACGTGGACGCTGCCCTAGTGTGAATAACTTGCATCGAAAATCAATATTTTTTATGTTTAGCCCGTTTCTGCTTGTAGCCAATACGCACGGATAACCGCTAATGTGTGAATGGAGTCTTAAGGAATAATATAACTTTACTTGACGATTTTGGATAGTTGGTTTTGGTGGAGCAGAGACATAGAGATATTGTTAGACATTTTTAGGGGGGGGGGGAAGCACTTTGCTCCTGTCCTCAACTGCAGTTGAAATTTGGTCTTTCTAGAACTCTTTGTATTGTTATCTGCAGTTACACCACACCTTTATGTCTTAGTTTGGAACATCTGGGGTTCGGATTTCTGAGTATGCTTTAATTGGCATTTTTTTAAAAGAACTCCGGGGGAAAATTATCTTAACCCTTGCAGTGTGGCTACCCCTGCATTGCAAGGATTAAGCGCTCGTTTTCATCTATAAACGAAAAACACAAGGTTATGCTCACCTGAACCTTGGAGCCGGCTGGCTGCTACTCCAGTCCCTGAAGCCTACACTCCAGCGATGGAATTTCCCTCTGCGTTTTCGCTTCCAATACACATGATCAAAACTGGTGCAGACAAAAACTGGAGTAGATGTGCATGGCAACCAATCAGCTTCTTTCTTTAATTTTCATATCTTAACTGAACAAACTGAAGAGAGAAGCTGATTGGTTGCCATGCACTACTTCTCCAGTTTTTGTCTGCTCCAGTTTTGATAAATTCCCCTCAGTGTATGGGATGTAATCACAGAACCTTAAAGCGCTGGAACGAAAAATGAGCACTCCAGCAAAATGGGGGTAGCCTCACTGCAAGAATTAAGCTCATTTTTCCCTGGAGTTCTTCTTTAAGTCCCAAGGCCTTAAGGGTCTGGTTTCTGTGTTGTACTCTCGATTGTTATCGGTTGAGGATTGGGAAAAAAAAAATCTCTTCCTCACATCTCACTGTGTCACCAGCTGCTAATAATAACATTATTCAATTATATATTATTTATCAGGCCTATTTAATGCTGTTACAGCTCTGTAAGATGAAACATATTCCTGTGTCTCATTGTTTGAGGTGCAATCAAATGCAATTTTTTTGCTCCATATGATCTTGGGTTGCCGAGTTATATCGGCTTATTGGCGACAAGTGACTTCTAAAGTTACTCTGTTTCAGCTACATTCATTTGGTTCCATGCTCTCCGGAGGTGTGCCTTTTTAGTTTACTTAAGGAGGAACTTTGGTCTTGATATACCAGGATCTTTTTGAGAGAAACTTTGTTTATGGCCTGTAAAGTAATAGCTATTAGCCACTTTAGGCGGGTGGCCGTTTATAAATGTTCGCCTCCTGAAGCGGTCTCCGCTCATCGATCAGCAAGCTTCTAGCCGATCACTGGACCCGGAAGTGGTGTGTATTACATCACTTCCGGTGTCACTGTGCACATTCTCCGGCTCCTGCAGCCAGGAGAAGAAGCTACTGAAGCAGATTTCTGCTTCATAAGCTTCTTTTGCCTAGGTGACATTAGGGGTCTGACAGACCCCTGATGTCTCCATAAAGGGGACCTGTCACATCATATTTGCTATTACAAAGAGGGCTTGTTATTGCTATCACATAGCAGTAACCAGTAAAGTGTTAGTGTTAAAATGTAAAAAAAATTGAAGTCACATAAAAAAAAAATTACAAATTCAAATAAAAATGTTTGTTTATTATGAAGTCCCCCCTCCACGTACACGAACATACAAACGCAAACACGAGTCGGGGCGCGGCTACGTGCAAACACCTGCTATTGCTCCCGAATGGTATTGTGTTGTATGACAACTCAGACTGTCAAATGGGCGGAACAAGCCCCGTCACGGCTCGCTACATCCATTTGTTTACATTCGGGTCAGAGCTGCCATTTTGCAACGAGTCTTCGTCGGGTTTGGATGGGTCGTTGTGCGGCGAGACTATTTTTATTTGAGCAAGTCAGTGGGCATCGTTGGTCGTGATTGACGCTGGATTACATCAGTGGATCCATTTTTTTAAAAAATATAGCACTTTTTTAAAATAAATCTGAATGTTTTAATTTCAGTTAAAGGACTTTTTCAAAATGTGTGGTGTGTTTATTTACATTGACTTTTAACCCTTTAGTGATTGAGTAGGGATACAAGTACCCCTTACTTATTCAAAAGGGGGGGGCGGTGGCATCTGGGTGCCCCCTTTATTACAGGGGTACTAAATGCAAATAAGCCCCCCTGCCCGCAGACCCCCACAACCACTGGGTCAGGATTGTGGGGAAAAGGCCCTTGTCCCATCGGCATGGAGACACCCTCCCAATGCCGAGGGCACCTGGCCTGGTATGGCACAGGGAGGGGGAGGGGCGTCCAATCCCCCCCCCTTTCCTGCCCTGCCCAGGCCAGTGCTTGGATCAAGGGTCTGGTAGGAATTTTAGGACGGCCCGGTGTTTTACCCCCATTTTTTGGGGTGTGGGCTTCCTCCATTAAAAAGCCCACACATTTTTTCAATGGGAGGGGGCTCATGTTTTTTTTTTTCTTCTGTGGATAAAAATTAATTTTTTTTCCTTTTGTCTAATGTCACTTTGCTGCAACGAAAATTCATTCGTAACGAAAATTCGTACATACTACCGCTAACGAAAATTTAGTAGATAATTAACACAATAAAACTTCATTCGGGAAAGAAATTTAGATGCATCCGAAATTTTTGTTATTGGAAATTCGTATTCTTTTGCATTCGTTATTCCTGTCATTCGGAAATTCGTATACATCCGAATGTACGAAGTTCGGAAAATAATAACGAATCTTTCTTAAAACTAATTGCACATGTCTAACCACAGCTGGCACAGCTCTAATAGGCAGGTGCAGGATTTAAAAAAAACAAAAAAACAACACAGCGCACTGACTCTCTACTCCAGCTCTTTCACTGGGCAGTGGCAGCATGCATGTAAACATGACAGCGTATAGCGCACCTTAGAGATGCAGGGCATGTGCCTTGGGACCCTGGCGTTGGAGATACCTCTGGTATAAGTTATTTATAAACTGTAGCTGTGTCACATTTTTAATAGCGGTTTATGGATTATATAGTACTTGCTGCATGCTTGTCCTGGATTAATGACTCAAAACATAACCAACCATTTTATATGGTAGTTGTCCTTCAAGGGGCACTTAAAGTAAAAAAAATGTCCTCAACATTCCATAAGACAGTATGTAAAATAGTCACAAACCCATGTGCAAGCATTTTTAGCTTGGGGAGAGTTATCTAATTTTCGATTAAATTAGGTTTTTGGTACATTGCTCCTGGAATTCCCTACCCAGAGATCCCCCTCACAGTCTACTTTTCTGAAGCCCTAACACCAACTCACACTGTAATCTCAACCCCAATGCTACCTGCAATCTCAACCCTAACACTAAATCTTTTAACTTGAACCCCGGAATAATAATATTAACACTAACACTCCTTGTAACATCAGTCCAATCAATAACCCTCTCTATAACCTCAACCCTTACAAACCCTTTAACTTTCATCCTAAGACTTAGACCACCCTGTAACCTAAACCCTAACAGTAACCCTCTCTTAATGTAAACTTTTACCTTTGTTTGAATACTCATCTCCCCTGCTTTGGGATCCTCTGAACCAAAGACCAGCTGCTTGATATGATACCATGCTGAAAGGTACCAGCACTGGTATCATGGCTCTAGAGTTCCATAACTGAAAACTCATCTGACACAGTAATAATTTTAAGAAAATTTGGGGGTCTTTCTTTATATATTGCATCGTTAATGATTGTCTGCACATATTGTTAGCTAACTGTTGCTGATAAATAGTCTATACTATCCATTTATCCTGTTTGTAATTGCAGAAAATTGAACCTATTTTAAAGAAACTGATACAACTCATGGAAAAACAGGGCAAGTGAGTATATTAAGTTTCATGCTAAATAAGCTATCCAACCAGAAGTGGTGGTGATGGGGATTTTGAGGTGGGTAAAGTGTAGCTGCATTGGGAACATCTCTCTGCATTGTCTGGATACAAGCAGTCAACCCTTCTCTTTGCCAAAGTAGTCGAGGTCTTTGGGTTTTACATGGAAGATAGACACACAGACACCTGGAATTGGAAGAAATGTGAAAATAAAGTGGTACAGCCTGGGAGTGGATTAGTGATAAACTAGAGATGTTATTATTTACACTAACCCATCAATTTTACTTTACCCCAATCTCCAATTGGCTGGTCTACTATGCCTTCCGGTGTCTCATTCCTTGCTACATGTGTGTGGCGATCATATAGAGCTTCGATTACTGGATATGGCCAATTTTGTTTTGCGGGCGTGCCCACGTGTGCAGCCAACTTGGTGGGGGATTCAAATGTCTCAAAACTTATGGTGTTGTGTATCAAGTAGGAGGTGAGTGATTAGTTAATTATTCACCCACTGTATCAAATCAGCACCTTCTACTGCTACTACACACTGCTCAATTCCTATCGATGAGGTGAGGGTGATCAGCTGCATCCAATTGAGTTGGTTTGTGATCACATGGTGTTCACCCACTCTATTTATTTGTATCCTATTTTATAACTTGTTAACTCTGAGGAAGAGGAAATATCCCCCGAAACGCGTCAGCTAGCGAGGTAGCTTTTGTGGGATCTATCCTATACCTTTCATCTGGTTATTACCATGTGAGTAGTTTTTTATGTCTATTTCCATTTTAATTTTTAATAAACAGTAATACATGAGGACAAGGTGCTGTCTTTTTGTTTTGCATTACCCAGGCCTCAGCCTGCCCTAGGTTGAGTCCTCCTTTCATTTAAATGAATACATAGTACTTCTCTTCTTTTTATCAGCTTTGGTCAGGCCAAAGAGAGAGAGAGATTGTCCTTCTCTCACATGCTTTCAGAAAGATTGATTCACTGTCCTTCCATGCAGTTCTAGTAAAGATAGTTCAGATGCCAACACTACCATCTATCATTGGATCCAGCAGACCATATTTCAGGCTTTTGCTCTGAAGCAGGTGCATGGCTGTTATGGGGCCTGGGGTAGGGGCTTTGTGGGGGCTGATTAGGAGAACTAAACTGTGAAGTTTGTAGTATAGAAGGGCTGAAGTCAGAAGTCAGACCCCCCTCCCGCCCCGTGTAGTATGAAGCATTTGCCTGGCTCTTTTAGCATTGTAGCTTCATTGCCCTCTGAATTTCTATTAACCCTGTATGCCTAATGCAGTCAGAAATCGCAGTGTCACTTCTGTTAAAACCTTATAGGAGGGCTAAGGGTTGTGGTTCCACAAAAAAAGTTTAATGAAGCTAGATTTTAAAGAAGTTTGTATGAGGGTTTATACGTGAGGTCTTTGAAATTTAAACTCGCTTTGCAGAGGGTGTCTGTACTTTGACCTCAAGCTGTTTGTTGACTTCTAGGAAAAGCAGTTTGCCAATAACATGCTTAGAAAGAGGGACATTATGGAAAATCCTTTACACAGAATTATTTTGCCAAGCAGATATTTCTTTTTTAGCAGGCATAGAAAATCATCACTGGCTGCAGATTAAAATGCAAAGAGAATTTTACCATAAGTAGCAGTATGTCATGCTAATATTGCCATTTATCAGGGTACTCCGGGCAGAGGAGCAGAGCAGACTGTAGGAGCGGGGAGCATGGCTTGCTGCAAGCTGTGTGTGTATATGGTCACACATAGCTGGGTTCGGGAATTGCATGGGTGTCTCATCACCAACCGGCTAGCAGATGTAGACATCCGCACACAAGGAGGGGGAGCTTGCGGTTTGAGGACAACTAGAGAATGAGGAAATTAAAACGTTTAAAGAAAAAAGAAAAAGGCAGTTCAATCTAGTCTGGCCTTTATAATAATAAACAAATAAAGTTTTAACATTACTTTAAAGTTTTCTTTTTTTTAAAAAGCTTTACGCAAGGAAATTTAAAGGTAAGCAGGACTGAGAGAGATCTGAAGTTTCACACTGGTATTCTCAGAAAATCTTTGAAAATACTAGTTGATTACTAATCATTAAGCTGATATTATAGAATATTTCGACTTACAACCCTCACTGGTATCAGAATGTAGTGGGCTGTGTGGCAATGAATCTCTCTGTAAGCTCCAGCTGGATCCCCAGTTGGAGCTTACTCATTGTTAGCACATGAACATTGCAGCATACCTGACTGGCTCCTTGTGCCGCTCCTCCTTCTCTTAGTCTGATCTCTGCTGTACATGGGATTGCAAGAGCCCTGTACTAAATGCACTGGTTTCATTTAAAAATACATGTAATGATGTATTCATGAAGACACAGTAACATTAATTTGTGACTTTTATATCTGCCTGGAGAGTTAAGCTGGCCATGCACCTATAGATTATCTGCAGATTTTCTATGGCCAGATGGAAAAAGTGCAACAAATTCCTCCATCTATGCTAAAATGTGTGAATGGAGGAATCTCCCGCTGGCCAAGATTCAGTATCTTGCTAGTCGGCTCCGCTGGTTCTCAAAACACCTGACGAATGCCTGCGTCCAATCAGATTGTTCAGATATTTTGAAAGCCAGCGGGGCCAACTAGCAAGATACTGAAGATTAGCCCAGTGGGAGATTCTTCCATCCACACAGTTTAGTGTAGATGGAAGAATCTGTTGCACTTTTTTAATCCGACCGTAGAAAATCTGCAGATAATTTATAGGTGTATGACCAGCTTAAGTGAGAAGGATTGCAAATGGCTCCATTATACGTTTTGAGGGATACTAGATGCTAGCTACTTGAGTGGACATGTGGGTATTTGGATGCTAAAACATCTAATATTCTTTAGATTCTAACTCTTATAGAGAATATTTTATCCTCAATCATTCCTAAACGTTTCTACCATTCCTTGTCATGTGCAGGCCTCCCAATGCTGATGCATTACAAAAGTGTTGCAAAAATAGCCTGGACCTGCACAACATGATTTGCTGTACCCCATCATTGAAGATTCAACATCAGCTCCCAGCTCTTTCGGCCAAAATAATCTTAACACTATTACGTATCTCAGGTTTACCGGTGAGTACAGACTGAAAATATCTAGATTGTAAGCGCTTAGGGGAAGGGCCTCCCTTACCATCTTGCCTTGAATTGTATGGTAGCTGTAATGTTTTCCTTGTATTGTAAAGCGCTGCGCAAACTGTTGGGGCTATATAAATCCTGAATAACAATAAGTACATTCTAAGAATACTGTCTAATAAAGTCATTAAAGCCCTGCTGAACTTTCAGTTCAAATCTGCTAAATATGTTCCAGGTGTATCAAAACAAAAAGTGTGGAAAGTGAGTTTCTTTTCTTTAGAGAGCAACCACAGCCTACCAATGTGCTGTCTTGGCAGTGTTCTGACATATCCCCTGAAGAGCCACACCTTTTGCTCTGCAAACAGCAAACAGTGGCCTCGGAGGAGCGAGCGGCCGCCCGATGACAGCCGGGTGAATGTGGCAGAGAGAGGGAGCCAGGGGCTTTGTTTAGCGGGTGTCGTGACAGCGCCCCCCCTCAGTCCTGCGCCCGGGGCAAGTGCCCCCCCTGCCCCCGGTTGTTACGCCACTGCTCAGCAGGAGTCATATGGGAACTCTTTAGAGAGACCACTGCTTCCACACCAAGGGAAAGGGTCCTTGGAAACAGCATGCTGGCTGGAAACATGTTTTTTTACTCAGGTTTTGTATACTTTCCAAACAAATCAAACAATAAGGCTTTGCATACCTTTTTGTTTTGATGCACTTGGAATGTATTAAGCCGATTTAAATGAATGGTCAGTTGAGCTTTAAGTGGGTGCTGTGTGCATCTGTCCTGGCTATATAATGTAAACCCAATACAATTGTATCAAAACAAACTCCCTATACATAAAAAATACATAAAGTATATATATCCATTCGCTGAGAGTGGCACCCCGAGTATTACTCACCTGGATGGGATGACGCGGACGTCGGATCGATATATATATTTTTTTGTTGCATATTCATTTTGCAAAATAACTGTTTTTTTTTTCATGAGAAGAAAAACTTGTGGGTAGCCAAACAACACAGATATGACTATCCTGCAGTACAATACACTTCTGTCACTGCTAGTGTTGCACTCTTACCTATAGTCCTCTGCAGCTGTTAGTAATGAGTGCAGAGACAAGTATCTTACCAGTATTAGAATCTAGAGACATTAGATTTGATCCTGAAGTTTTGCCGATTTATTTAATGGATAATATTAGCATTTTAACATTAGTATTGTGCAGGCATGCCTTGCTTTGCTTAAGTATTTGTTTTAATTTCTCTTAGCAACATCAAACAGATAATACGTCAGAATCTAACTCACAACTATCTGATCTGGAGAAGGTTTTGGAAGAAGCATTGTGGTTGACAAAAAAATGGCTGGAAGATGTCTATGGACATAAATTTAATTTGAATGTGTATGAAAAGCCTAGTTTGCATTCAGAACTCTGGGTAAATGTTTTTGTATACTTGACTGATTGTTTTGTACAAGGTTGAACAGTGTTTAGTCATTTTTAGTAATGTTAGTAATAATTAGTAAAGTACAAAAGGAGATGTCAATAAAGCATCAATATTTGACACAACTTTTTAATAATAAGTATGCCATGTTAGAATATGTGTCAGTTGCATTTTATAAATATGTTTTCTTATTATTCAAAACATGCACTGTTTGATCTAGGCGTGGCATCTGATCCTTAATGCCGGCGAGAATGCAACTCAGAGGTGGAAGAATGCTCTTGTGCCAATTTTACTCAGGAAAATTAAACAGGTACATTTAAAGCTCAAATTTAACCTACTTCTATTTGTCTTCCCTGGTTCCTCCCTCCTCCTTTCACCAACATGCTGACAGATTTGGGTAAATATGCAATTCTATGTAACAGCATATTTAATCAATTTATAATGAATGCTTAACTGGATTAAATGTTTTTGTTACTAAATCTGCCTGGAGTTCTGCCATTGCAGTATGGATGTTGTGAATATTTAAAAGTATATTGAGTCCCACTGTTTTTTATTTTTTTAATGCTTTAAAAATGCCATAGAAAGGATACCAATACACCATTCTTATTTTTATTTTTGTCATAGGAAGAAGCAATTAATCAAATTTCTCTGTATTGTAAAGAACTGAATGCATTTAAAGATCTTCACCCATCCATTAAGAAATGCTTTGAAGACTGTGCAATTGAAGCAGTGCATTTGGCTTGCCAGGTAAAGTCCAGCATGAAGAAAATCACACCAAGGTGTATTTCTTAAAGATATGTATGGCTAGATAGCATTAATGGGACACTAGTCTACTTTCTTAACTACAAGGTATTATTGTAAAGGTTACCTGAGTGGAAACCAGTCACCATTGGGCTTGTATAATTAGCTGAATCTTCACTCTTGAATTGTTTTAAGCATTCAACTTTACCTGTCCTGGGTTACTCTACATTTTTGTTTACTTGTATTTTCTCCCTTTCAATGCAGAACTATTAGACTTACTACCTGCTCCTGCAGAAAACAACACATAGCGTCACCTCCATGTGAAGGATCATTTATTAAAGAATAAACACAATGTTAAAAATTTACTTCCAAGTGTACATTGAACAAAGCGCAGTAATGTGCATGGACTGCTGTCACCATGGGACCGCTAAGAGGAGAATCCCTTTTAGTCAGACACACTGCTGTCGTCAGTCTCTCTTGACTTCCCTCACCGCTGTGTCTCAATGGTTAAAGCATTTCAGGGGCACGCCCCCTTTGTCTGAACCTTGATTTCAGCCCTGCCAGAGACTTGTGTTTAAGATTGAAATCTAGCCAATCAGGGCACATCTCTCCACTGATGTGGTGTTTGCTGGTTGGTTGGCTTATCAGCTTGTATTGTTCTCTACGTCCACACGACCGCAGCTCTGATTGAGCCATCCTTTAACTGTCAGAGAACCCCCTGCCTGTCATTCTTTACTTACAGGACTCTTATTAGCTCGTTGGTGATCTGAATGGCCATATGGCCGTTCTAAGCAACTATCTAGCAGAAACGCACAAGGGGAAGGTGGACCTAGAAATGGGGCAACATAGAGGGCTTTCAACAGGGCACAACCATAAGATCATAGGATTGGACATTGATCTAACCGAATTATCTCAAATATAAAAGCGAAAATAAAAATAATAATAAAAAACTCTGGCAGTAGCCTTTCACAGGTTTGCAAATGGATAACCTACATATAAAACAAGACTATAGAAACAATTAATTAAACTTGATTATAGAATATTATATATGCAATAATATTAATTGAATATTAATATATGAAAAATTGTATTCAACATAAAGACAGTTGTGAATAAATACACTGTCATAATGTTGATGGTGTTGTATGGGCAGTTAGTTTATTGAAGAAACCAATGTCAAGAGTTAGAGAAAAGGATGGGCGGATATCTTATGCTTTATTGGAGAAAAGAGGGGCAACTAGTAGCCCTAGAGTCTGTTGGATAACCCCTGTCTGATCTCTTTGGGACATAATTTAAACTTTCTATATATTGATGAATGTGTTAGGAAGAAATCCAGGGAAGAAGGAACAGATACCACCCACATGCCTGGATTCAATTGATAACTACAAGGTTGGTTGTCAAATTTACTATTTTCTTATTGGGGCTATAAATGGCTCCTATGGTGCATCTAAAACTAAATGCAATGTGGAGACCCAAATTCAATGAAGCTTATGAGGTCACTTCAGTCCTATAAAATCCATCTGATGTAGTACAGAGGACACACTTATTGAACCATAACCTTGTAGTCCTCCATTAAAGTAGTATAGTGGGATAGAAGTTCACCTATATGTTTGAGTAGGCAGTCTACTCATTTGCACCCAACTATTCACCAATACCTCTTCTTGTTGAAAGATATCCATCCTCTGTACCAACATTAAGGTCCCAAACAGTTGGGTATGTAATTTCCTGGTCCAAGTGGCTGCAATGCAATATATAGTTTGAGTACATCTTTGGGTCTTCACAGTGCATTTAGTTTTAGATGCACCATAGGAGTCATTTATAGCCAGTATAGTCAGTACAGAGGCTCCCCATTTATTCAGAAATGGTGATATTCAAATATTTAGTATCAACCAGTTATAAATGGGTAAGTTAGTGATCTGTAGTGAGTGCTACTACCCATTCAGAAATTCATGAATGAACAAGAAGTGATGTAAAGCACTTCCTGTTCATTCATAACTTGGGGCACATAGTACTATGTATCCAGGTGAAGAAAAGTCACTAGCACTCCAACGTAAATAAAAGGCAATATTTATTGACTACTAAGTGTCACATCATCACAGGCGATATTTTGGAACCGCATGGTTCGTCGGGCAAAACAGAGTGTGAACGGCAGAAAAATCATGTGTAAATTATATACAAGGAAGTGCAAACCAATAAACCAATCAAAACACCGAAATGTTGCCTGTGATGTTGTGACACTTAGTAGTCAATAAATATTGACTGATCACTCCAGTCTTTGCTCTGCACAGGGGATCCTGAAACTGACAGGATGACAGCGTCTCTCTTTCTCTTCCCTACTCGCCGAGCGCTGCTCTCTAGCCGCTCGGCCATCCTGAAAAGAGGCTCCCTATTCTACCCGCCGAGTTCAGATGTCATTTTCTCCTTGGATCCCCGCTGCCTCAGCCTATACAGACGGGGGGAGAGCAGCAGGGATCTGAGGAGAAGCATGGAGAGGGCGGCAGAGGCTGGGGGTCGCCCGGATTTTTGGTTAACAGCTGTCATCAGCGGGTTTTTAGCCACTGATGACAGCTATTATTTTAAACCGTACGGGGAACCATTCTGATATAAGTTCATGGTCGCTAAAGCGTCCGTGAGCTTATAGCAGAAGGGAGAAAGCCACCGATGTAAGGCTTACTGAGGTGGCCAGCTGGAAACAGTTGTGTTCCGCCGTAAGCCTTATGTCAGTGGCAGCGAAAGGCTTAAGGGAAACCAGTCTTGCAAAAAAGAACTACTGGAACACGTGGTAGCAATTTCATATTTTATATACACTGCCTGGTGGCCAAATCTAGTGTTGTAGCACTATTTTTCTTTGCTAACTAATGTATGTAAGTGGTTGTCTAACATTGTACACAACAGCCTATCACTGTTTACAAGGCAGCTGTGGGAGGTGATTATTTACAGTATATATTTTTGTTGACTTGCATAAGTAGAGGTAATTTAAGGACAGAGTAGGAACTAAACTAATTTTAACCTTGCCATATACTGTACATTTTTCTTTTCATATAGTCAGAGACCAATATTCTTAGCAAGTTAAGTTCTTACAATCTGGAAAATTTTGGACGTTTGGTGTCAAGTGTTATAGAAAATTCATGGCCAAAGGATAACCAAGGAAACTATGTTAAAGAGAGTGATGCAATTTTACAGCACTTGCTAATGTGGACAGATGCAACATACATATTTAAACTTTATGGTAAGTGTAACTCTGCTACAAATATGAACTTTTGAGTTAAAGGGCAAGTTCACTTTCAATCGAAGCACCTTTTTGCCCCCCCCATCCTCCGCTTCATGATGTAGAGTACCCTACCCTTCATCTCCCCAAATGCATAATTACCTCAATGTCGTGGCCTACCGCATTGTTTACATCCTTAACCTGTTGCCGTCCGCCCTTTGTGAAAAAACGGACGGACGGCAGACTCACATTTGCCGGTTGCCGTCATGAGACGGCTTTTTTTTTCTGCTTGCGCGCGCCCCCTAGCTCTAGCGCACAGGCAGAAAAAACCCACCCGTTTTTTACAGCCGTTACCGGCTGTTTCACATGCATACAATCGGCGGCTCTATAGCCTACCGATCGTATGTATGTGCTTGCTGGCTGCGCACCCCCCTCCTCGAGTGCCGCAGCCACCACGAGTGCCACCCCCTCCTGACTCCTCACCTTCAATACTGGGATCCGCTACCCCATCTGCGGCCGGGAACCGGATCGGGAGGACGTCAGTAGGTAAGATGGGAGGGAGATCAGCATCTTCCTCCTTGCTGATCTCCCTCCGTACTGTGAATGTGGAAGTAATGTGTAATACATCACTTCAGCATTCACCTGTCAGTCATCTGGCTGCTATAGCCAGAAAGAAGAAGCTGATGAAGCAGATCTCTGCTTCATCAGCTTCTTTTGGGGTCCCCAGGTGACATTAGGGGTCTTAGAGACCCCTAATGTCTCCATAAAGAGGACCTGTCAGTGTGCCTTTGCTATTATTTAGGGGGATTGCTATCCCCCTATGTGATAGCAATAACAATAAGTGTAAAAAAAAAAGTACAAAAATAAATAAAAGTCACATATAAAGAAAGTAACCCCCCCCCCCAAATGTTTAAGTCCCCCCCCCCCCATGTTTACGCACATATAAACGTAAATACGCGTTTGATGCGCCAGCATGTGAAAATGACAATTGCGCTACACATGTTACATATCACCACGAACGTCGGAGTGAGAGCAATCATTTTAGTGCCATCAATCACTGATAACACTAAACTGATGAGCCGTAAAAGCTTTTAAAGCGTCGCCTATGGCCAATTTTGGGTATTGCAGTTTTTTGAGATTTCACACGCGCGCACAATTTTAAGGCTTGACATGTTTGGTGTCTATTTACCCGATGTGACCCCGACTTTTATATTTTACCAAAAAATTGGGTAATAATAAATGTTTTATCATTTAATTTAGGGGAAGGTTTTTGTTTTTTTCCCGGTAATTATTCCTTAACCTCCTTGGCGGTATTCCCGAGTGTAGCTCGGGGTTACTTCTCCATACCCTGAGCTACACTCGGGAATATCCCACAGTATTTACTTACTTTGTCCCTCGAGCCATGCGGTGTCCTCCGGCCGGCACCGGCATCTGTCTTCCGGGTTCCGTCCCTTGCGAGCTGACTCGTCGCATGGGGGCAGAACCGGCGGGAAATTCGAAGAAAAAAAACGGAAAAAACGTAGAAAAAAAAAATTACGAAAAAAATCCAAAAAAAAATTGCGCTTAAAAAATTACGAAAATCAAAATAATCATACCGCCAGGGAGGTTAATATAGCAAAAAATAAACCCCCCAGTGATAATTAAATACCACCAAAAGAAAGCTCTACATGTCCCCCCAAAAAAGTATAACATTTATTTCAGTACAGCGTTGCATGATTAGAATAAATGTCAGTCAAAGTACCGCAGCGCTGAATACTGAAAAATGGCCTGGATGGGAAGGGCGTTTAACACAGCGGACTTCAAGTGGTTAATATGATGCTTGTAATATAAATTGGTTATCTTACCTTTTCATTCCCTATATTTCTCTGTTGTTTTTTCTTCTACCAATTTTTATCTTTACAAACATTTTCCTTTAAACTGTAACTCCACTTTGGTTTAGAAAAACACAATTGCCCTAGGAGATCTGTATACACTGTAAGGGTTTTAGCAAACACTGCTGCATATTTATAACTTTTTCTGCACTTAACAAACAGCTTTACCATGTCCTCTCTCAGACTCATTCCTAAATGAAGCAATGCGGTTTTATTATAATTATCTGAGCAAATCTTAGGGTTCTCTTTAGAAGTGATTCCCTCAGCAGCAGACAAGCTGTAGGCAGCATACTTGCACATTAGGGCACACTTACCTTACAAATGTGCTCATCTCCACGCTTGATCTTCCGGCCTCAGCTCTGTCCCCCTGGCACCTGGACCATTCACAGCATCTTAGAGATTCCATGAACTGGCGAAGTGTGTACACTGTACCATACATTGAACACATAAAATTAAATATCCCTGGGGGAGAGAAAAATATAATTTTTTTGGCAGAAGAGACTTTGCATGTCTCTTCTGCCAAAAATGTCCAGCTATTTTATTGACTTTACTTCCGCTTCAGTAAGGGGGATAAAGGGCCTCAGCTATGAACAACTAATAAGCAGTCTAAACGTATTTACCTTAGAGAGAAGGTGCTTAAGAGAAGACATAAACGCTATCTACAAATTAATCAGTGGTGAAGAAGACATGTGCACATAGTTTAAGATTAGAGGAAAGGAGGTTTCATCTGGAATTGTGGCTACTTTAGGTCACTGCAACAAAAATGTGGAACACCCTTCTCCAGATAACAAGTGGAAGCATTGCCAAAATTAAAAAAAAAAACCTCTAGTCGATGAGCACAACATTTAGGGATAGATATACTCTTAGAATAGATAACTTTATCTGACACCCATACACATAGGTTGAACTGGATGGACCTGTGTCTTTTGTTCCTACCATACCTAATACGTAACTATGTGAATGGAGGAATGACAGATGAGGCTGGGGCTTAGAGGATAGGGTGCTCAGAGCCTTAAAGTGTATTTCCACATTTGCAGTCAAATTTGAGAAAAGCCCCCTATATGTTTGTGAAGTGTCCCCATTCACACAGCATAACGAAAAATAATTAAAAAAAATACTTACCTTTTTACATGTTTTGTTGCAGCATGATGATTCCTGTTTTTTCTCAGCACCTGCACAGTGATCTGTCCTAAGAGTAAGACTTAGGACTGAAATTTGCAGATTGTGTTGCTCCCACTAACATCATTAATATTTAAATTCAGAAGCCAGGGTTGTAATCTTTTAACCCTTGGTTAGGACAGGCATTGTTCAGATCTACTATACAAAAGATAATGAACAAAGCCTTCACAACCCCTCCTAACATTACAAAGAAGATTTCACAATATCCAGGAAACCGTGCTGGATTTTGCCTTTGGTCCCTGGTGCTCTGCACTCAGCCTATGGTGTTTCACAAGGCTGCAGCTAATCTGTACTCCTTCTTACCTTTTTAGCACTACCTCACTTGTTGTTCTTGGTTCGAGGAACAAGTCACATTCATTGTGCCAGACCCCTTGTTTTTCTAGCGATCCTTGTGATCTTCATTCCATGCTCTTAACTTGGATTCCCTGCATCTTTGGCTTCACTGTACCCAGCTGGTTTCCCTGTTGACTTAATCCCCTGCTTTGTTTTCAGTATTTGCAGGGCCGGATTTACTCTCCCTGCCGCCCCAAGGCCAGACATTTACCTTATTATTGTTTATTTTTTATAATTATTTTCTTATTTTTTTGTGCTGGAACTCCTGCGACAGTTGAGAGAGGAAGAGTATAGCTCTTCCCTCTCACTGTCTACATGGAGCCGCAGGGTTAGTTTTAACCCTGCCGCTCTGCTTACTGCAGTGAGGAGAGACTCGGCAACGGAGCCCGGAGGACGGAACCAGAGGAGAGAGGTAAGTGCAGCTGGGAGGGGCTGCAGACTTTTTAAATGTGATCTCGGCAACATCGCCGAGTTCACATGTAAGCGAACAATCGGCTTCCTTCACTCTACATTTAGTCCTGCTTGTGCAAAGCAGGACTAAATGTAGCGAGGGCAACTTACCACCCGGCGCCCGGAACTTTCCCACAAGGACACCGCTGCCACCCCTCAGTGCCCTGCCGCCCCGAGGCCGGGCCTCGGTGGCCTTGTGGGGAATCTGGGCCTGAGTATTTCTGTTATTGTCTATATCTAGTGTGTACCTTTGAATATTGCAGCACACCTTCAGTTGCTTTCACCAGTGTGCTGTCAGTCTCTCTATACTGCCTTCATTGCCTTACCATTGTGTGTCTGCATTCTCCTAGCTACCCTCTGTACTTATCTGTACTTCTCTGTACTTCTGCCTCACTTTCTCTTTTGTACTTTATTCCTGTTCACTCCACCTACTTCTCCTATCTACTTGCATTATTTGTACTCCAACCTTACTTTCTCCAGTGTACTTTATTTCTCTACACTAACCTCTCCAGTGTATCCTCCACCTTTGCACTATGCATTTACCCCTGTACTTCAGCGCTTCACTCTTGTCTTGTTTTTGTGTTCTATACCTACTTGTTCCGCAAACTCCCTGTATGCATTTACCTCTTTGACTTGCACTTTGTGTTTTAATCTTCTGTGTATCCTGTATCTCTTTGTATGCATGTGCAATGCACATCTTATGTATTAATTTGGACTTTGTACCTTAGTGCTCCTAGTGTGTCTCTATGCTACTCACCTTTCCTGTGTGTCACTGTGTCCTAAGTCCTGGCACTGCTACCCTCTTCTTTGTATCCCGTGCTGTGCGTTTTGCACCTTTGCTTGTGTCTCTCTTCTTGTCTGCCACAGTTCCTATCTTCCTCTTCCTCTTGGTTTCAGGTTACTTACCTTCCTGTTTTTGTAACCACTAGCCCTTTAAGTCTGTGTGGGTGCGCTAGAGGGCCGCAACCTGGAAAGTGTTCGGCCGCAGAATCATCCTTACCATTAGAGGCTCTGTAGAAGACCTGGCCCTTCTTAGGCTGTGCACCTCTAGTGCGTCCTCAATAACGCACAGACCCTTAGTTTCTAGGGCCGGCCACTAGTAAGTACCGGAGGGCTACAGCTGACACACAAGCCTTGCTGCAACCAATACACAAACCTTGCAACAATGTAGGAAGCTGGCTATAGAGA